ACGATGTCTGCTGTTTATGACCCGTGTGTTGTCCCGGTCCATTATATGGTTTTCTCTTGTGCAGTGATCTGTTACGGCTGACTTCTTTATTGTGCTTTCTGCTTCATCTTTTGCTGCTCTTGTGTGTCTTTGACTTGTTTCTTTCTCACACTCCTTTCTATGTTCTATTGTTCGTGTGTTGAGTTGGTGTCCGGTTTCTCCTACGTATGTTTTATTGCAGAGTACACATCGGATCATGCATGGGACTGCATCATCGGAGAGGGGAGAGCGGGCAGCAGAGGGAGACAACGTCCTCTGCTGCCCGCGGATAAACGGAGTAGGAAGCAACACCACCATCAGCGTCAGCTCTGAGGAAGTTTTGCAGTCGGCAGACGACACGTAGGCAAGGTAAAGAAGAACCTTTTCTGTGTTTTAAAAAAGAACCAGCAATGCAGTTAGAAAAGCAACAAATTCAAATTCAAAGATACTTTTACACACACTTCTGAGATCAGACGTACGTACATAGGCATAGACACATGACAAGAACTGGAGAGTGTTTTCATTCGAAACCCCAGTCGCGCTACCTTAATGGAGATCAGAGGGGGTTACACAACATAAGTGTCCACTAGGTGGGGAGGGTTAGGGTTGGGGACTCTTCTCACATCAGTGCATTCAGCCACCATGAGCAGCGCTCGCCACCTCCTTTTGGACAGGGAAAGGAGGTATTTGGGTTTAGAAAGCACAGTGACTCCTGGAAATGCTTCAACGGCCTTCACCGGTCGCAGTCCTGCCCAAGCTGGGATAGGGAGACAGAACTTGCCATGGAGATGGCAGCATTCCACATTTCTTCTGAGGGGGAGTAAACACTTCAGCCTCACAGGCTCAACGGCACCAGATTCAGATAAGAACTTGTTTTGGGTACAGATAGAGATAATTTCCTCTCAGTCTTAAAGTTCTGTTGGTCTCCAACCCCTCTAAATCCAATAATGGTGTAATTAATCTATCCCCAACCGTGCTGTGCCGTCCACTTTCTCCTTGATGGAATCCACCTTCTGTGCCAGAGTCTGAATCTCAGCCAAAGTTCCAAGCTTACGACTCACCTCGACAATTATATGAGTTTGTTTGTTCACAGCGCGGTGTAATCCATCCCTGAGCTCCGGGATTGAGCCAATATTCCTCGACAACTCATTAATTTTCCGGTTAGCCAGGAAACCGCTCAGGCCAAACAGCAAGAAACCTGACACCACGAATATCCAGATGTCTTCAGAATCCTCTACAGACAGTTGAGAGAGGCAGATCAGGTTCCACTGTTTCCAGGAGTCCATGATATACCCAACTGGATCTGTCTGGGGCAACCAGGAGCCCCTTTTCATCGTTGAAAAAATTTTGTCAATCGCATTGAGAGACCAACTGACCAGGTCCATTTAAAAAATTTCCAGTTTCCAGAAAAAATTCAGAAGCGCCGTACACCCAAAGACAGACAGAGAGCTGTGGGATAAGATAGGGAGGAGAGGTGGAAAAAAGCGTCTGAACTCTCCAAGAGCCGGAAGAGGAAGCAACAGAGCAAGAAAATACCAAAGATCCCTAAATCCTGATGGAACTATCCCCACATTTCACTTAATAGTATTTACAAACAGCAAAGTCTAACATGTTAATACACCATTCATACAACACTGGTGGTGGTGGTGGTTGGGGGCGGGGGCAGTGGCTCACAGTTCCCCTGTAACTGGTTGGTTCAAGCCCAGGCTCTGTCTGCTTCACTCTCCTTCCCTGTTGGTGGTGGGCGGAGAGGCCGGTGGCCTCAGTCAGCGTGCCTCAATGTAGCTCATCTTCACCATGTGTGAATGGATGAGTGATTTACTGTTGTGTAAAGCACTTTGGAGTCCTCTGACTCAGAATGGTGCTACATAAATGTGAGTCATTCACCATTAAAAGGACAAAACTGATGGATTTTTGTCACTGGCTTCACACACACACACACACACACACACACACACACGCACACACACGCACACACACATTGTGAGTGCTTGACAGTGATTTTCTGCACAGCTGGGTATAGGGCTGCAACAAACGATTATTTGGATAATCGATTAATCGGATGGGGTCTCGACACGATTAATCGATTAATCGGATTACATGGGGAAATTTTTAAAAACTGCTAGGGAAACGTTATTTCTCTCCTTCCTTCACTTTATTTAACACAACATTATTAGAAAACAGTTCAATAGCAGAAAAACAACATGCCATCACCTAAATTGTCTTATAAGGTGTATAGACAGAGACCCTAGGCTACATCTATCTGTGACCTAAAATGCTTGGTCCAAGTTAAACAGCTTAAGGGCAATTCTCATCTGTTTTGCTTGATCTCATCTGTTGACATTTATTTTAAATGTAATTAAACATAGGCTGTGAATTAATCAAAATTGATCACTATTTCCAAAAATGACTGAAAAAATACCAAATAAAACAAAAGTAAATGAATGCCATCCTCCTTGTGATGATGCCCTGGGCAACTGCCATAAAGTCACATCAAGAAATGCTGCTGATCATTCCAATGATCCCAAATAGACTCACATTAGGCCACATGAAAGCAACTGAACCCAAAAATATATTAACCAGTAAATAACTGCACTCTCACACAACATGCCTGCAGCAACAGTTAGGACTCCTCCCTCCCTTTTAAAAGCGTTTTTGCTTCTGAGGACATTGTGGTTGTAAAACCACATACTAGTAGTCTGGCCCCGGTGTGATCAACCAGTTTCTGCGGGAATGTGACGGCGGAACCAGGGCCAGATTAACACTTTGTTGTACCCTGGGCAACAATATTTAAGGGCTCCATCATCACGACCCAAGGATCACCACAATGTGGTCACATACAGAATATTTTACTGTAATATGCAGTAAATATACTCAATACTTGAATGCCTGACAACACGTAAGCCACCCAGAGTAACCTTTGACCCACCTCGTGTGGACTGACCAATGAGGAGAGGGTCTTAACTTGAGGCCCTCTCTTCATTGGTCAGTCTGCATGAGACTGACTCTCAACTGACGTTCAGTCGTAGGCAGCGAAGCGTCTCTGTGCAGCGCAAAAGCCCGGGTGGACAGTTTGTTTAATGTAGGGTGACCATATTTCCATTTCCAAACAAGAGGACAGGGGATCTGTGCCTATGACGTCACACTATGGCAACGCCACAAAAACCATGTTGGGACCCATTTTTTGTAAGAACTAAATTAATATCAGATTCTGCCAATTAAAGGGCTCTAAAACAATTCATATGTAAATATTTTGCATATTTAATGCAAAATCTAATTTTTCTGCTTTAGTGCTGCAACAAGTTTTTATTAATAATAAATTATTATACCTTTTGTTTTACTACAGCATCAGTAAGCTTCCTGTGCACAGATTATTAAGGATACTTGTTTCAGCTGTGAGATTAGACAGTAGGATCAATGAAAAAAATAAGTTGTCACACACTCCATGGAAACTTTCAGAGAATCCACAAATAGTGGCTTTCAAATGGTTTTGTTACTTTTTGCAAGTTTATAAAAGAAGCAGATGAGACAGCATGTCTGATAATTTAGTTTTTCATCTGATAATATTAGAACATGTCAGTAATGTCTGAGGGGCTTTTATAAACACCATATAACTAACACTACTGGAGAGGGCATGAATTACACAGAGGCTTCTGGGGAGCCCAGTTATTGGGGGGGGGGGGGGGGGGGGGGGCATTTTGCCTTGGCCCCCAAAATGTCTTGAAACGGCCCTGGGTGTGTGACTGAGTTTTGAAGGTGATCTGAATTGTATCAGATGTATAAATATTACATGTGTAGAACTTATTGTTTTTTACTGGTAAAAACGTGTCGTGGAGATAAATCTACCTACATTTTACTTTTCAACACTTTGTTTTGTTTTCTTGTTTTTATTTAACTATTTTCCTGTCCTGTCTGTCTCTCATCTTCCTGCATCTCCTCTTAATTCTCCAGAAAATCTGTTGCCTGGATTCTTACCTTTTCACCTCATCAGTTACCATAGGCGTCATTTTAACCGGGGACGCCGGGGACATGTCCCCGGCAAAAATTGTGATTGGCAGCTGTGTCCCCCCCACTTTAAAAAAGCCTGCTGATGAGGATTTTTGTTTTACCAGCTCAGATCTTATACCAGGGGTCGGCAACCTGTTCCCATCAAAGAGCCATTATTACCCGTTTCCCACAGTAAAGAAAACACCGCAGCAGCCGCGGCGTTGTGGGCGGGGCCTACCCTCAGACAGCAGAGAGCTGCTCACAACCAGGTGACAGCAACAGGTACCGGTCGCTCGCATGGGCGTCGCACCCGTGGGGGATTCAACACCCACACCTTTCCAGCTGTTTTGCTCACCTCCACGCCAGTCTGGTTTCTTTATGTCACACTCTCTCTGTTTGCCTCATCTCCTTCTTCACCTCCGCTTCTGACAGCCAATGTCGGGTTTCCAGGAGAGCAGGAGAGGGAGGGACGGAAGAGCTCGACTGAATTCATAATTTTACATCATGACATTAGCTGTACAAAGTCTGAGTTTGATAACGTGAAGAACAACAAT